AAACATAAGTACACAACTCACAACAGGGAACACCCAACAATACAAGACCACCACTTAACGCCATGAATATTGAGGTCAAAACCAAATGACACTCCATGACCAAAGTGACATATTAGTGACCCTCAACGCTACATAAGAAAACAAAAGTTCATCTAATTGTTCTTAGATAACCAATGACAAATTTGATATTCCTAATTCGGTGAAGGATTCTAAAACATATTTAGATGTCAAGTTGAATATCAATTTGATCAAATGATCATTTTCTTGATTTTTCCAATTCAACATCAATTTTAATAAAAAAACAATTGTATTTCGTACACCAAACACAACAACAATTCAGCATACCATAATGACCCATTCTCAGCAATACAAAAGTAGTTACTCAAATCCTAAATTTATATGCATTTGGTCTCCTATAGCAGGTCATTTCCTTCCCTGCATCATTTGCTTATCTCATGATCGTAGTTCCATTTTTTCTCTCACAGATCTCAAAAATAGTTTATCCGTAGTTAAACTGGTACGGATGTAAAGAAGGTTTTGTTGCTCAAATGCGTGATAATTCTTCACAGTTTTAGCATCTGCAGCTACTGGTAGGGAGGTTCTGGTAGAGCTTGGAGCGAAAGAATTATGTCTGTTTTCTTTCGATTCACGAATGGTAAATACGACTTTTGTTATAAGACGCTGATGCAGATTTGATATTATTTTGTTTCATTCTTGCCACTAAAAATAGCAACAATTGCAATACCTTTTTCATATTGAAAAAATAGAAAGTTTGGGTCTACTTAATTTTATTTTATTATGAAGATTGAAAAATATATATATAACGTAGCTTTATAGGGCTAATGTTTAATGAAGATAAACATTTTGCTTTTTAATATAAGCAAACAAGAAGGAAAGAGAATATATTATTTTCTTGTATAACATAATGTAATGATTTTATAATGTGTAAGTGTATTATTGTTTAAGGACTCTAATTATTTTCTGTATTTTTATATGTTTATTTTTATTTTTATTATGTTTTTATTTTTTGTTAATTCGAACACTGACTTTTTACATCTCCATCAGTTGCATTTCTTGCAACATTTAAACAGTCGAATATTTAAGACCTATATGATATCACCTTTTGCATTCCCTTCTATTTCATCTACTTCCCTTTATTAATGTATATATATCATATCATGCAGAATACTAATTTTCCATCAGAATTTTTTTCATGGAATGGAGGGAGTTTCATCTCATCTTCATCCATGAATTTCTATGAGATAATTCAATTAATATATATACCTTTTTTTTTGCAGATGTGGCGAAGAATTTTGCTATGCTTGTGGATAGTCATTCATGTATGGTCTTTTAAATTTTGGATTTTCTTAACTGTTCTTTTCAGGATATTCAAATTTGGACTATTAAGCTTATGAGAACCATTCAGTAATTATCATTCGATTTGTCTTTTCAATTCATAATTTCTTTAGGGTTAACACTTTTATTTTCCAAAACATCTTTATCTTTTTTAATCATAATATGTATTTTTGTGAAATATATTCTTTTATGTTAGACATTTTGGAAGTTCATAATAAAAATGAACGTTGTGTATCTCTCAAAAGCGCGACGTTAGAATGTCTATGTATGTTCTGTCTTTTTCTGGTCAAATCAAGAGCCACACAGAAACGTTTTGGATGTCCATTCAAAAACAAAAACATTACTTAAAAAAAGGTAATGATTATATCAACGTTCAGAAAATTATTGTTTTCTTATTCGGTAATTAAGGATTGTATTTAAAAAATTATAATTATTATTGTAAGTCTTGAATTCATTTGATAATTGCAAATTTTATTTTCTTAATAATTTCAAAAGTTGTTAATTATCTTATTCTTTCTTGACAATCAGAAGAATATTAGAAATTATGACTTGCTTCATAGACATAATATTATTCGAATAATTAATTGTCATGTTGAGTTTCATAAGTTCAAGAATTTTCGATAAATATTATGGTGAGTTTTGGTGTTGCATTGAAACTTTCAAATATTTAAATTTTCTTCTAAACATTCAAGTTTCACGAGATTTAAAAGAAAAAAACCTTTAATTTTTCATTGTGAATTTTTTATTTTAAATAAAAATACTTCTGAGCAAAATCAATCTTTATCGAATCCAAATAAATAATTCATACATTTTTTTTTTCAAAAAAAGTAGATCTATTTATTTCTTAGGAAAAAATAATTAATTGATATTAAAATAATAAAAATAGTAATGCAAACATTAGCCAAAAAAGTATATCATAATAAAAAATTTATATATATATATATATATAAAATATCCTAGATTTTTACTGGAAGGATAATTTCATATTATCTCCCACATATCCGGTTCCCGTTCCTAGTCCTAAAACTTGCCAAACACGTTAGAAAGTTTCTATCTAACACTGAAAATACTGACTAATACTGTAACCGTCATTTTAATTTTTAGCGCACGGTGATACGGGGCGGCGGTGATAGCGACGATCAAGTGGTGCAGGCAGCGGTGATAACGACGACCGAGTGATAGAAGGGGAGAATCGTGCACCAGGTTAGCGTTTCTTTCAACTTTGTTTCACCGTTAGGGTTTTGGTATATATACTTGAATTTCTTGATTTTTAAAGCAATCCAGTCACTTCTGCATAAACCTTTGGTTTTTTTTAAAAGGGATGAAGTTTAGTTACATTCTTTTGGTTACATTGTTTTAGGTGATATTAATATTTTTAAAAGGGATGTAGTTTGACTAAATTGAGAGGAAAAGAACATTGGATTGGTGTACAAGTCGGTGCTTTTGTTCAATGTATTCTATTTTCTACCATGGCAAGTTGGATAGATTCGGAACAGAACTTATATATGTTGCAAAGAACTGATTTTTCTTAATAGACTGTTCTTTTATACTTGATTAAATAAGAAATTATATAACCGTTTTTAGACTGACTGAATACAAACGGAGAGTGGGGCTTTTTATACTCTCTTGTTCATATAGGAGAGGATTAGGATGACCCCATTCCGCACAAATTTCGATTTCATTTCAAATCTATATTTTTCTCTCGAATCCAATTGCATGTGGCTAATTTTTGTGAATAAGATTTTGGAAAACTTATGAGTCTCGTGGTGGACTGAAAATTTGTTGTTTGAGGCACCTCTGGTTTAATACCTATGATTATCAGTTCACCTTTTGCATTTGCATTTCATCTACTTCTCTTTCAACAGATCCCTTATACTAACTTTTCCTTTTAGAAAAAATTTTCATGTGAGGGAATGGAGGGAGCTTCATCCTCATCTTCATTTGTGAATTTTCCTTCCACTGCTGAAGATCATCACTTGGTCGACGATTTCTACTTTTCAGCACTTTACGATGATGAAGAAATATTTCCAATTTCTGATGAGAAATATGCTGAAGAGCTGCAACTACAAGAAGCACTCTATTCCTCCACGATGTCAAGTGGTATGGTTGAAAAGAAAGCTGTTCAAGTGGATGTAAATGATGTCGGTGACTTATCTTTGAGAAACCTCAAGAGGAAACTTAAAGAGATCGGTGAAGCTTCCCTTGCACACTGTGGTATTTGCATGGATGCCAAGCCTGGGAAAGAAATGTTCAGGAACCGAAACTGTTCTCACCTTTATTGTGATTATTGCATTGGAGGACATGTTGCTGCGAAAATTCAGGAAAATATATCAATGGTGAAATGTCCTGAGCCAAAATGTAAAGCGGTTATAGAGCCAGACAACTGTTGTTCAATTATCCCTAAAGAAGTGTTTGATAGATGGGAAAATTCTCTTTGTGAGAATGTGGTGCTTGGATCACAAAAGTTTTACTGTCCCTTTAAGGATTGTTCAGCTATGATGATATGTGAAGCAGGGGAAGTTGTGACTTCATCGGAGTGTCCACATTGCAATAGACTGTTTTGTGCACAGTGCAAGTTTTCGTGGCATGCAGGAATAAACTGTGTGGAGTTTCAGATGTCGAAAAGAGAGAAAGGAGAGAACGGAGACTCATTGGTGATTGAACTTGCAAAGACTAAACGTTGGAGAAGATGTCCAAAATGCAAAATTTACGTAGAAAGAATTGATGGATGTACACGTATTTCATGCAGGTTTGTGTTTTACATATTTCAAACCACTCTTTTATCTTATGAAAGTAGAACATTTTCTAGGAATTTGGATTATTGATTTTTTCGTGTTATCCCTATGTTGATACTGAACTTGAGAATCTTGACTTTGTTTGTAGAGTGTTGAAGGATGTTTGTTGAGTGTTGAAGGATGTTTGTTGATCGATGATATGTTATAAAAATGGTAGTTACGACCATTTTAATCTTGTAAAAGATTGTCTAATTATAGTTAGTAGTGTTAAATAATTATTTTCTTTCATGAGAGTTTTCTTTTGCATTTTGAATGTATGTTTATTATTATTTCCTCTTTTAAATGTAATTCAATTACAACAATATATGACCCTTTTACATGATGGTTCCTTTGTTTTGCAGATGTGGCCATGAATTTTGCTATGCTTGTGGATTGTCTTGGACTTCTAAACATTATTCGTGTGTAGTTCGTTAGGTTGAAAGAATCCCCCCAGATTGGAATCTATTGTTCAGTAAGTACATTTGAGATTTTGGATTTTCATAATTGTTCTTTACAGTATGTTCAAATTTGGATTATTAAGCTTATCCGAACCATTAGTAGTTTATTCAGTGATTATTTTCAGATTTGTCTTTTCAATCTAGAATTTCTTTAGGATTAATACTTTTTATTCTTCAAAATGCAAAATTTACGTAGAAAGAATTGATGGATGTACACATATATCATGCAGATTTAAATGAAATTCAATTACAACAATATATGACCTTTTTACATGATAATTCCTTTGTTTTGCAGATGTGGCCATGAATTTTGCTATGTTTGTGGATTGTCTTGGAGTGGTACACATTATTCATGAGTAAGTTTTGGTGGAGACCAAGTTGAAAGAATACCCCCAAACATTGGAATTTATGGTTCACCGAGTACATTTGAGATTTTGGATGGCCATGTTGTTTTGTTTTGGGCATGTTTAACTTTTGGATTATTAGATTTATCTTTTCAATCTAGAATTTCTTTAGAATTAATACTTTTATTTTCCAAAACATCTTTATTATTTTTAATCAAAATAGGTATTTTTGTGAAATACATTCTTTTATGTTAGGCTTTTTGGATGTTGAAATTATTTTATCAATATTTTTTTTCAGCTTGGTTACATTAGCGAAAGTAATAAGTATATTAAAATGAGAAGGACCACTATAAAAATTAAAGAAAAAAAAATGTTTAAGAACAACTTTAAGCATATATTTTATTATGTTTGTGTGTTAGTTTTGGAAAAATACAAATTCAAGACAAATTGGTTACTTTAAAAAACAAATAATGTAAGCATTAATAGAAATAATTGATATATGCTTATGCTGAATGAGTCATTTTAGTGTACGTACGAGAGCATAATGTTTAGTTTTATTTGTATAAATGCTAAGAAAAAAGGTTTAAATAAGATTTATGATATTTGTTTATTTTTTTTAATTTGGTGATTTGTTTTATTATTATTTTTATTATTTTGTTAAAAATAATAACCAAATTTCACATTCTTACATCCGGTTTAATAGTATACTACAAGAGAGATCATATATTAAGAAATGAGAGGATAAACTTTTCATTGAGAATAAATACATAAGTATATAATATTGCAGTTATATTTTACCTTTGTAAGAGTAATTTGAAAAATATTAATACAGTTCTTTATACTTTAAAGTGACTATTACACCAAATTAAAACTCTAACTATCTAATTCGGAATTTCAACATCACTTCCTTGCCTTCTTTTAGTGTACAAGATTATTAATGTTAAGAATTGGACAGACAAACGATAGAAAAACAAATAATATTCCTAGGTCATAAAACTATTTTTCCTAAAGTTTTTCTTGGATATATGAAATTGATGTTGTCTTTAGGGAATATAAACAGTAATCCTAAGTCATACAAAAGTGTCCTAAATTCCATTGGAGCTGTATTTTGACCTGTATCTTGGAGGACTGTAGTGTGTGTGGTGAACAATTAGTCCACATCAAGTCTACACGTCATCAA